TATTCTATTCTATTCTATTCTATTCTATTCTATTCTATTCTATTCTAGTGAAAACAGTTTCCTTTAGGGCTTTCTGTCAAGAATTTTCTTCAGTGCTGCTCAAAAGCGGAATGGAACAACTTGCCATGGCTAACCCAACACGGGACAATTCACCATGGCCAATTCTCCATGGGACAACTCACCAGGGGAAAAAAAAAAGTCACACTAATATTGAAGGAATAGTGGAATAGAATCAGTACAGAAAGGATGCCCAAGGAGGGACACAATAAGATGTGAATGACAAAAAATTAAAATGTTTTGTTAACTATTTTAAACAATTACACTGAATTGTTGAATTGTCCTGTGGCAAGTTAGTTGTCCTGTGGCAAATTGTCCTGAGTTGGCCATGGAGAGTTGACTGCAGTGAGTTGACTATAGCGCGTTAGCTGTGGCAAGTTGTCATAGAACCTACTCAGAGGTGCCTGAGGTTGAATCTGAGATCTCTTGGATGTGGATACCTATGGCAGACGCTTTTGCCTCTCCTAGGGCCCCTGTAAGTTGCTGGACGTAGCTGTACAATACAGACTGGAAATAATGGACATGGAACTGCTACAAATCCCCATTTTTCTAACCATGAGACTGTGCTGCTGAGACCAATGGGGTTAAATATACAGCCACAATTGGAAGACCACGGGTTCTTCAACAGCTTCACTGCTTACCTCTAAGTCAACCATTTCTATGCTTCCGGCATGGTCATAAGGTTTTCTTGGCAACAATAGAGATGCCTCTCCAGCTGTTGGCAGGTCTGTTGTGGGCGGGATACGTTTCTGTCTCTGTGTAGGGTGGCCAGATGAAGGAGAAGGCTAGACTTACGTACTCTTGTACTTGTCTAGAAAAAGAATTTTTCAGCAGGTAGCTTTACCCTACAAACCTTTTTTTTTTCCCTCAAGGGGATAGGAGAAAGAGTAATGCTCCTTTCCTCTTGCATTTGCTTCATTCGCAGCTGTCATTTGAGGTTTGGCAATGATGTTGCCTCGGGAAGCTGGTAGACCTAGGAGACACTTGATGCCACCCAGAGCCATGGGATGGGAATAGGGTACACTGGAGGAGCAAAAGGGGAGCTGTCTAAGTGGACAAATGTGAAACATGGATGGATAACCCTGTCTGACTGAAGATTAATCTGAAGTGAGGGATCGGAGGGCAAAGATGCCAGAAATATGTTTAACCTTAGTAAGGGAATTGGGATTCAGTGACCCTAGAGGATTAAGTGATTAATTGGAGATTAGCTAATGCTTGCTGTGAGCTGAAGTGGAAAGAAGCCAACTGTAATTGCTCTGTACTATTGACTGTATGTATGCATGCATGTATGTGGGCATGAATGAGAGTTTTTTTAAAAAATGCTTTTGTAATATCAGAATAAGGAACTTGTGGTTCTTCAATATCTCAGGGCCACTAGGCCCAAACCAGCAAGACTTTCCATGAAGGCCGATATCTAAGTCTTAGGTTCCTCACTCTTATTTGTATTCTTCTTAACAAAATAGTTTCTTGTGACTTTTTTTTTTTTTAACAAACAGAATCAAGAGCTTGCCAGGCTTCCCAGCAGGGTCTCATCCAGTGGTGGGATTCAAATTTTTTTACTCCAGTTCTATGGACGTGGCTTGGTGGCATGACATGGCTTGGTGGGAGAGGCAGGGGAAGGATACTGTAAAATCCCATTCCCTCCCCACCCCACTAACCTGCTTTCCAGCTCCGTTCTCCTGTGCAGGGCAACCAAAGAAGAGCCAGCCAATCAGCTGGGACTCGGGAGGCAGAGAATAGATGGGGGCGGGGCCAGTCAGAGGTGGTGTTTGCCGGTTCTCCAAACTATTCAAAATTTCCGCTACCAATTCTCCAGAACTGGTCAGAACCTGCTGAATACCACCTCTGGTCCCATCCTACTTCAGATTGCAGAAATCTCATCAGATCTCAGTTTTCTGTCCTGGGATCTTTCAAAAACTTGTAGGACATTGCTGAAATTATTCGTGCAGGAGTGTCAAAGTAGTCCTGAAATGGAGTGGCCCATAATTTCTCAGTTCCACTGATTCAGGAACCATATTTTGCCCACCCTGCCCATTTATGCCTGATCATTTGAGAAGCAACCACGTTCATATGAACAGGTCATCTAATATAAAGATTTGGGGAATAGAGATTTGGAATAACGGAGTGTCTTCTACACAGAGGTGGTATTCAGCAGGTTCTGACCAGTTCGGGAGAACCAGTAG